TGGAACGGGACAGCCCGCTTCCGTGGCTCTGTGACTCTCCATCTCTGTGTCTGGTCCAGATGAGGAAGGGGGACCCCCGTAAACAGGACTGGGTTTCCCTTCTTCTGCCGTACAACTGATCATACGATTTTTTGCTTCGAACCCCTCTGAGCACAAGTAATCATACTGAGTAAAACTGAGTATTGCCGATAACCGTCTTAGACTATTGCTAATCATTCGAGACATTGCTTAGAACCCCTCTGAGCACGAAAAATTATACTACGTATTGCATGCCTCTAACCCTCTTACACTACTACTAATCATATTACGAAGTAACATAATCATTGTAAATATTGCCTATAACCCTCTTAAGGTAGTACCAATCATACGAAACCTTGATTGAACCCCTCCGGACCCGAATGAGCACAGGTAGCGCTTGTACGACTAATCAGAAAAAGCCTTGAGTTGAACCCCGCGTCTCAGGCCTTCGAGCGCGCACTAGAACAAAGCCTTTGTCACTGTCAATCCTGGAAAGCCCAGATAAACCCTATTGAAGCCCTCATAGAACCCTATATTAACTCTCTAAAACCCTTTGTAGACCCTATGAAAACCCGAAGAAACCTTGTACTCGCCCTCATAAACCCTGTACGGACCTTTTCTTGCGGGGGTTCCTGGGGGCGCCGTGCCTTTGTCTTGTTGAAATTAAGGCTCCAGGCCCTTGTATTTCAGACTCATACCATGGGAGGGGGGAGGAGGGGGCAGGGGGGCGAGGGGGTGGGGGGGCGCAGAACGCACAGTGCACAACCATATATGGCTCAATAGTGCGATCCCTGTGACGTGGGTTTGGACCGCTTGCCTTGCTCAACCGGGGTCCTGTGGTCCTGTATCCTGACAATCAGTGGCTCTTCTTGAGATGTCTCTGATAATTCCGCTAGGTTAGAGACCCTTGCGGACCTGGAGCGACTGATTCTGGCTGGGCCGCGAGCGACACGCGCGATTGTCGGTAAGTGTTCTGTCGTGAACTTTGAGAAGGAAGCCGAAGCGAGATGTGAGGACCTTGCAAGTTGCGTCGAAAGCCGAGCCAGTGCCCAAAGGACACCACAGTCTGGTCACGTGGTGCTCTTGACAGGCAGTACCGGTTTTCTTGGATCCTTTGTTGCTCACGCACTGGCCCACGCCGGTTTCAAGGTGCATTGCTTGGTGCGGGCCACGTGCCAGGAAGAGGCCACAGAAAGATTGCGAACGTGCTTAAGCTTCTATCAGCTTTCTGAGGACGTTCCCGAGTCAATATCTGCTCTGCCTACCACAGGCGTAGAGAATCCTGGCTTGGGTGTGTCCGAGAATGCGATGCCTGGCATGATCGACTCCATCGTCCACTGTGCAGCAACAGTTTCTGGAGTGCTGCCGTACAACGCCCTGTGCGCTTCCAACGTGACCGGCACAAAGCAAGCTATCTTGCTGGCACTGCAGAAAGGGGCAAGGCTGGTGTATGTTTCTACGCTGGGCTTTGTAGATGATGGCCATCCGGAGACACGCAGGGTCTCCACGGCCAACTTGCATCAACGATCGGGGTATGCCCAGTCAAAATGGATGGCTGAACAATTGGTCTGGAGAGCCACGGAGTCATTTGGACTACGAGCGGTTGTCTTGCGACCTGGCACGGTTTGCGGGGCCCGGTCTGGCGCGAGCAACACAAAAGATGCTGTGAGCCTCCTTCTGCTTGGACTCGTCAAGTTGGGCTCTACATGCACTGATGATCGATCACCATTGCCAGCGGGATTCAATCTGGTTCCAGTGGACTACGTTGCAGATGCTGTCGCCTTCTGGCTTGAATTGTGTCGGGTATGTTGGTATGTTGCCCCATCTGCATGTCGTCTGATTCCTGCTCATGTTTTCTCACAAGAAGAGGTCCCAACGTGCAGGCCACATATCAAAAAGCCAAGCTCACATCGAGCAAACTGGAGAAGTAGGATGTCTAGCCGCAGCGGATGCAGGTCGTTGTAACAAGGGCCAGGCGCAGATGCTTGGCCTTACTCAAGATGAAAACTCATCTAGCATTTGCGGTAATTCGTGTTGTGTCAATCTGGCAGTACGAGATGCGTCATCTCAGGCTTGCCACCTGGTCCGATTCATCTTTGTGCACCGGAAGCCATTTCCACCCGAACTTTGTGTCAATGGTTGAGTGAAGCTGGTCTGCGGCTTAGTCATGTAATTCACGGGTGTCAGAGTGCCAGTTCGTCAGTGCAGGCCATGAGTTGAAGGACCTTTCGCCGGAGGAATTCTGTAAGAGAGTCCAACAGGTTGGGCACAGCGGGCCTTCAAACTGCATCAGCTTCATATAGTGTAGATTTTGCATGTGCTGCTTTAGCGCGAAGGTGGACGAGATGCATCCCCTGTATGCTTTGCGAAGCAGCTTGAGCTCTTCAAGGTCTGCTCACTCCGCAGACCTCCCTATCCTTGAAGCAATAAACGAGCGAGCTCTGAAATTGAGGACATGGCTTTTGCAACGCGTATACATGCCGCAGAAACAGGGCTTACTAGATGTGCCTGTACATGGCCTCAGGACGCCACGTGCCTTGACCAAAGACTTATTGGCCAAGTCAATCCAATTCTTGAGATCGGCTCACGGTAGCCAGTGCATACCACCTTCCAGTACCGATGGTGAAGATGTGGCGAATCCAAAATAAGCGACAGGGGAAGCTGGTGCTGGTCCGGGAGGTGTGTTAATCTGCCGTAGACCATCGCACCATATCAGGAAGACTTGCCACATGTAAGAAAAATGGGCCACCGGGACCAACCGAGTGTCTCCAGCCATATGAGCTTCTCCAGCTGTTTGCTCTTCCAGCATGTTTGTAGATGCAGCAATCAGCAGCTTAATGACCGGACGATACAAGTATCGGCATCTAGAGCTTCAGAAAACGCGGAAGACGCCCATGGCCGATGGCGACGTGCAAAGTGACACGATTGACTGGGGCAAGATCCTTGGAGAAGAGCTGATGTTGAGTGGTCGCGCACAGGCGGCCCAGGCGGCTGCCGACAAATCGGCAAACACAGAAGGGAGTGTACAATCCGACGGCGACCAGCCAAGCGCAAAGGAAGAGAAGCAGAGCACCGTGCGAACATTGCATGCCATCCCCAGTGCTTTGAAATTGTTAGTTCTGTACTTCTCTGGCCGATGGTGTCCTGCTTGCACGGAGTTCGACTCTGTTATCAAGGACGTGTACGCCGGACTGAAGTCCCTGGAAGAGTCGTCAGATATCGAAGTCGTTTGGGTTTCTTGTGACCTATCCGAAGACACGTACAAGATGCACATGAAGCGAATCGGGTCCCTGCTCGGAGCTGTCTGGTCCCCAAAGCGCTTACAAGAACTTTCTGATCGTTGGAAAGTGAAGGCGATTCCAGCGGCTTTGGTCTTGGATGCTCGAGATGGCCGGATAGTAACGGCAACTGCCAGGCGAGACATGGAAGAGGCTAAGCAGCGTGTGATGCGGAGTGGGTCCAAAGATACTAGGGAAACTGAAATTTATGGGAGCCTAATGTTTCGTTGGCTTGAGCGTCTCGATGCTCAACGTGCAGCTTTGGATGACGGGATGCCTGTGAAGGGTGAGAGCTCTGACGAGAGCTCTGAAGGCTCCGGGTCCGGGCAGTCTTCACGTAGCCACACGAGCAAAGCCTCGTCGCGGCGAAACAGTGAAAGCTCGGCACAAGCAATGGCGGAGGCAAGTTGAGCAAAAGAGGAGCCGCTGACGCCAGCAAGGTACATCGATCCTTGAACTAGCGTTTTCATTGAAGCCGGCCTTATTTGTCCAAGGCGTTGGCTTTGTACCGCGAAATGCAAGACGGAGGCCTCAAGCTTTTGCCTACCGCTGTCTGCCGGGACAAGCTTTTGCCTGGCCTCTTTCGGCAGGCTTACAACTTGATGTAATCACATGCGTGGATCCCAGGGAGTCAGCACCCGTGCACCGCCTCGAAGCCACAAGCTTCTTAGGTGGGGCGATGCTGAGTGCTTGTGAAAAGTGCAGCGCTCCAAGTCTGACAGTGCTGCTTTTGAGGCAGCTGTCATCTTGCAATAATTAGAGACATGGTGTGTCTGTGCTGCACCCACAACAGGTTGTTACGCTTAAATCATTGAGGGAGTCACCGACTAAACCACGGTTCAAACCTCGACGGTGCCTGGATAAAGACATCCAGTTATGAATGATGCATCGACAGAATCGACATCACACATCGAGGTTTGCAATGGAATTGGGCGCTGACCTTGTTGAAGGAGGCGCGCAGCGTCTTTTCATGTATACTGCAAGAGGCTAGCATACCGGGGGGTGATGGCGCAGTGTAGTAGCATGAAGCCGGCAAAAATCTGAAGCGCAGTGATGCTCGACACATTTGCCCAATGAACAGCACCTGCAGTGAGCATCTTAATCGCTAAAGCTGTGGTTTGTTGTGACCATCCCGCTAAGGTCATGTCCCAAGATAGGCAGCAGCTGGGCTAAAGTCTCACGCGATTCGACATGCCCTCGGTGCTGAGGGGAAGGACGGCGGGTGGGAGGCGGTAGGTGTGTATTCATCAAGAAAAATTAAACAGATGGTATCTTTCTAGCAGCGGTTAGGCCAGCCGAAAGTCCCGGTTCGACACGGCTCACCGACATGGGGTGCACAGCTTTCGAGTGCACACGGAGAAGCTTTGCCTCCTACTCTTCGAACCTCAGTTCGTTTTCTGCTGCAAGAAGTGGTTGCCAAGCATGGTGCCTTGTTGCAGGCCGCAGGCTCGCAGCTTGCTTTGGATGTGACTGCCTACAGCGTCGGCGGCCTATCCATGGGAAGTTCTCCGCACAGGAAGGAGTATATCTGTCGCATTGCGTTGCGCACTATGTCAGGCGGCCATCAGCGCTTGTGCCGCTGCTGTGCAGTGGAAGTGGGCAGAAGCCCCAGACGGATGAACCTTGCTGCTGAGAACCGCTCGTGCACTCAATCTGTGATAAATCGTGCCAGCTGCATCTGAGGCCCTGCGCCTGTCCTCAGAAATGGCAGCTGCAGGACATATGCCAACTCAAGAAGGGTCATGGTTTTCGCGAGGCCGTAGGCGAAGAGTTGGGTTGTCAAGCAGCTCCTGTCATGCAGGAGTGAGGTCGGCAGGGATGGGCTGGGGGAAGGGATGTTTGCGGAAGCAGTAGCCGTCAGTAGCCATGTCTCCAAAGCGTGGGGAAGTGCTTCTTCGCTTCTCAGTTTTTTTGCTTCTGAGTCGCACCTGCCAGGCCTGACACGTGTGCATACAACGCCGGGGCCTAAAGCTTTTGGAACAAAATCTGGGTAATTAGAGAGCTCTTGACTCCAAGCCAAATGTGCTCACATCAAGCGCTTAGGCATGCGGGAGAGTCTGATACAACTAGTCCAGGGCGGGCGTTACATCTCGGCATAATGTTCGCAGGATATCTGTTTTTGCGCATGTTATCAAAAGGACGTGGAGGGGAAGAGGCGGAATAATGTGGAATAAGATTCGAATCCGTGGATGCGGCAACCCGGGTCCGAACGGGTTTCTAGGTTCAGGGTCTAGGGGCCCAGGGTGCTTCAGAACGTGGGCGGACTTGCTGGGATGTCTGGATTTAGGGTTTCTCCCCTTACTGTAGGAGGCCTGGCGACAAAAGGGTTTCTAGGGCAGGTTTGGGGTTTCTAAGTTTAAGGGTTTCTGGGTTCAGAGTATTTCTGTTTTGGGATTTAGAGGGAGCTCCCGGCGAGGAGCCAAGCCCTCTGCAAAAAGGGTTAGGGGCCAAACCCTTGCTTTGTCGACGCCGGGGAAGCAATTCCGAAATTCTAGATCGAAAGACAAACAACAAACACACAAACTAGATGCAGCACACACAAAATACGTCAAAATACAGTAGAAAAGATGTCAAACATGCAAAAAACCCCACTCCCCCCAACCCTCAAGGGACCAAGTTGCGTCCAGACCCCGATTGCAGACCCGGGTTGCGACTCACTATTATTCGATTCAAAACGTCACCCACGCCTTCGAATAATAATCCACCCCCTTCGAAATAATTTCTGAAATTGTTCCCATGATAAAACCGGCGCTTAGGCTGTGGCGTCCTCATGCGAAGCTGCGGGTCACTGGCAGGACGCGTTGCAAGCTGTCGCGATGGCCTTAAAGTGCTTCAAACATCATGAAGCGAAACTGACGACCTGTGATGTGGGATTTCGTGAAAGACTCACGCTCAACCATCTGATGCCATCTGCTATTGCTATATGATGCTCAGCTGATGCTCTATGCAAAGTAAGGTGGCGATGCAGATTGGGAATCAAAGGTGCGGACGGCGAGAAGAATTGGCAGACCTCTGCGATTCACGTATTGAGCGGTGTCCTTCCAGGCCCAATGTTCTGACCTTTGGAGTTGCTCTCAGGGCTTGCGTCCAAGGCCGGCGACTTACGACACGGGAAAATGCAGGCAGCATGGTTGCTGCCCAGGAGTTCTCTGGGAGCAAGCCTTGAACTTTCTCCTCGGAGCCCGTCAAGGCCGGTTCAAACCATTCATGATACAAGCTGTGACTCTTGGGACAATCAAGACAAGTGCATTGTCGCGGTGCTTGTCTGTATCTCGCTGATGGCACCAACCTTGAATTGTCGCATGATGCAAAGCGTGCAACGCGAATGGTGGGTTCCGGAGTGGCGTTGGCGAGTGAGTAGGATTCGCTAAGAGGGAGATGCACATGCAATCTTCAATGCGGTTCGAAGTCTCCGTTTGCAGCCTAATTGCCATGGCCGTACGCACGCGGTTCTGTAACAGAGCGGCGCTGCAGTCCCCTTATGCGGCGTCAAGCGGCCGAGGAGCAGCCACCCAGTCAAAGGTGTTTCTTGCCGCGTCAGGCATTTGCACAAGCCAGATCTCTGCATCCACCCTGAATACGTTCGTTTTTTCACACAGACACAAACGCCCATGTGCATGGGTGCACTTGAGTCTTTGCGTACAGATGCGTCTAGAGCTGGCCGACATGCAGCCACGATCAAACAGCACTCACGACCAGGCGCCATCGACCTGGATTCCATCGCTTTTGCCACTGCCGTCAGAGTCTTAGCGACACAGAGCGAGCTGGCAAGCACGGGACAAGATAAGCGCAATTGGGATGGGAAAAGGGGCAAAATTGCGCCGTGCTGGCGAGGTGACCGCCTGTCAGACTGGTGGCAGTTTGGGAAAGGCATCATGGTGCGTGATCTGTACTATATTGTACTATCATATGTTCCTCCGCGCAAGAGCAGAGATTGCAAGTGGCCCAATGCCAAAACATGGCTTGGCGAAAAAATGCATACTCTCACAGTCTCACAGACTCTCACCGCTCTCACCCTGCCAAGACTCGCGTAGGTGCCGGAGCTCTTGAAGGCACTTGCAGAATCAGGGTCCATGTCTCTGGTTCGGGCCTTAGTTTGGTCCTGGTGTTTTCCCTCGCGCCCCTGCCGATAAAGGACCTCATGAGTACAACCCTCTGCACAACAGTCCTGATTATCAGATGCCTCGCCGGCCACACGTGCTTTGCGGGTTTCAGAGGCCTTTCGAGGGCCTACAGGTGGAACCCGGTTTCCACACGGAGTGATGAGGTACATGTGACCCTTGAAGTTAGTTGCTCGCGTTGCCCTGCTGTGGCCATCACATCCGCTACACTGTTGCTTGGAGAAGTGCGGCACGAAGGAAAATCTGATATGTGCAGCAGAGTGGCTTCAACAGCGTATGTAAACATTGAGCATGTCTCAGAGCAGAACGTGTTCGTACAACGGCCAAGGCAAGAAGATGAAGCCAGACAAGTTAGCTTCTCCTGCGCGAACTCCATCTGTTCATTGACGCAGAAGGAAAGAAAGTGCGGGATGGTTCTAAATGCAGTGAGTCGTGGCAATCCTCCCGTGGTGGCCTTCCTTCAAGACGTGGTCGTGGCTTGTGTTGCGTGCTTCTGTCCTACATTTTTGGGTGACTGGCTCGAAACTCTCTCCAAGGAGAGAGAGTTGCGACTCTTGATCAGCCCTGGCGGAGTCAGTGGTATTGCAAGCGATACGACTCGCATTTCATCTTGCACCTGCATGATCCATCCGGAAAGTCTGCAGTACAGTAGAAAACACTCTTTGCCTCTAGGGAGCGTTCCAGCGGGATACATGTTTCCTTGAGGGGCTTGGGGCGGGGGTTTCGTTTGGAGTGCAGCCATTGGAAGAGCGATGCCACAACTGCCGGCCTCTTAGACTCTTCGCCAAGACCCACCGCCCCAATTGGTGCGCAGTCGTGGAGATTAGGGCAAAGAGGGGATGAGTCCCAGCAGCGGTTCCTGGATGCTGAAGCCTCACTCGGAACGTCCCAAAACAGGGAATGGAAAAAACGTGCACACTCGCAGACACACTGAGGCAGCAGTTGCAACAGCAAATGCTAAAACCAGGGCCAGATTTAGCGAGCCTCGGATCCCGGGGTCGACTGGACAGATTTCGAGTCCTTTGTGTGCCAAGGCCTGTGCCCGCAGCGGCGGTGAGAAACGGCCACGGCCCTTCTGCCGACTGCGGGCGCGTTCTGCTGGCGGCCGCTCTGGGAGTGCCTCGGGACCGAACAGCACAATATAACAGCACCTTCGGAGAGCTTGCAGAAGAAGTTCTCAGATGGATTGATCGCCTAAGGCGCACTCAAAGCTTTCACCAGCTCTGACCTTACACTATATTGCATGCTCCGGTTTCCGCTTCATGGCTTGCAACCTTGGCCCGAAGGCAAATCAGTCGAAGCTTGTGCCGGCTTGGGGCTGAGGAGCTGAGACAATTGTTTGCATTCAGTGATCGTCTTGTCCTGCTGACTTGCTGCACATACGCTGTATACTGTGTCTGTCTAAGATGAATCAAGTGCAGCTTAGGTGTCTCCTACTTCGCCGTATTCTCCGCGTTGAACTTACAGACTGTTGGCGTTGCCCGCAGAGAAGCCGAGCTACTGTCCTTGTTTAGGTGGCAGAACAGCTCCGAAGGAACTCCAGCAGAGCACTTGGGCGTTCAGATCGGATATGGTGGCCGAGCAACTAGAACAGATTCGACAGGGGAGGCGAGTAGCTGACGAGTGTCTGGAGGATGGAGACTCTTTGCCGCAAAGAGTTCCCAAGTGGCTCTGCATCAAACACACGATACTGTAGCTCTCAGGAATCGGATCAGGTCAAGTCTGGCACCTCAGAAGGAGAGAAGGAGTCGAGCAATGTCGAAAAAAGCATGCATGGCTGGGAAAATACTTGCTTCATCTTGCTTCGCTGCTTTGCTTCGTAAGGCCGAACGATGCCGAGGAGCACAAGGCCGGCTTTGGCTGGTACCTGATCCGCCGGAGTCTCAGAATGCCAGGCATTTCCTTTGTCGCATTGCAGCTCCCAGGCTCTGCTTTAAATGGCCTTCGATCTCCTAGCAAGCAAGATGCTGACCAGGAGCAGGCAGGGTTCGTGGCACTTCCAGGTCCGCCAATTGAAGGCAAGATACAGAAGCGTCAAACTGCACTGGAGTGCCATGATGGGGGGTGAGGGAGTGGCAGACCCAATCGTGGGTCGAATTGGCCATGGTCACAACTAGCAGAGGGTTCCTCAAGTTGGGCATGTCACGCTCCGGACCGGTTGCTGTGTCACTGGAAACTCATCGACTCATACAGAGCAAGAGCAAATCTTCGTGTTGGCAGGAGCAGCCACGCCGGCAACCAAGTGCACAAGCAGACCTGCAAAGATGCGTATCTCCGCGGGCCAGCTTAGGCGTACAGAAAGACCACAGCCTGGACCTGATTGAGACCATGGAGCCGCTGACCGCCAAGACACGGTGAGAGCCGGGTGTGGAGAAGACGGAACTGGCATTTCCAGGAGGAGGGCCATGCCCACGAAATCACAAGCGATTTCGTCGTGCCTCTGCCTCTTGGTTGAGAAGAGCGCGAACCAGCATCAGCGATGACAGATTGCCAGCTGCGGCAACAGGCGGAGATCCAGCAAGCTTGGCGCTTGTTGCAGCACTTGCGTCATCTTGCCTCCTTGTTGAATGTCTCACTGTCATGCCACAGCGTGATGGTGCGAGGCTGTGGCGGTTTCGAGCTCTGCCCTCAGATTCCAATGTGCACGAACGCCTTCTCCCTGACTGATGCTTTGAAAACCAGGTTGTCCGCTCCGAGGACAAACTGTCGGCACGCCTTATCACTGACGCAGGCCTCCAGGGTCCACTGAGGAGTTAAAGCCATGGGGGAATCGTATGTAGGTCTAGGCCGCCTAGCAGACTTGGCGGGAGCTCGGAGTCTTGCAAGCTGGGGTTAACTTGTTGGGATCGTGTAACGCGTGCGGTACGGTGCAGTACGAACGGCTGAAAATCTTTCTCCTGGAGAGCTGTGTTGTGTCGCTGGTTGGCCGAACGTGATGTGATAGATCGTAGACCCGCTTCCAATGATACCTGCACACTAGCAAGTCGCAACACATGTAAAACGGAAATCAAATTCCAGAGAGACACCCCCACTGATGTGCTGTGGATGTCAATTTGTTCTATCGAATCAAGCTACAGCACTTCCGCCAGCGAAGGTGATTTTCTGATGCACGCCAGTGTTCGCTTGGAGGACGGCAGAAACTTTTGGTGTGCTCTTTGCCATTTGCAAGCGCATCGACTGGCTTTTTCGTAGGCATCTCGCGTGGACTTCCACCTCTACGATCCCAGCCTCGACCTTGACAGGCAGCGTAGAAAGGGAGCTGCTGGGAGCCGTCTCTCTGCGGAGGTCAGAAGGATCTCTTCAATCCGGCAAAGCACCGTCTCCAGGGGAAGTCTTCTTTGCTCGACTGATCTTGACTGTTTCTGTGGGCGAAGGCCAGCATTCACGATGGGTGGGCCGCTCAGAGTTTGGAATGCCTAGCAACAGAAAATAAAGGGCGTTGTTTGAGCATGCTAAGATGCTGGCTTGCTTGGCATGCAGTAGCAATTTCAGCTTTGCCTGCTGGCATCATCACCTAGGTTTTAACTCGTCCAGAGATGAATGGAGACTAGTCGCAGAGCGGCACAAGCCTTACCGGCCGGAGCTTTTGCGGTCAGTCAAGCCAAGCTCTCCCGAATCCAATCAATCTGCCTGAGCTTCTGGACGAAATTGAAGAATAGTATAGGATTTCTGCTGGTAGAAGCCGGCAGTCGCAAAGCTGCGACTCTTGCTGCTCTTCGTTGACCAATGCTGCCACCCGGTCCCTCTACGGTCAGAGTATGCAATGCATCGAGAACCGATTGGACTTATTTCAGTCCTTGTACTTTTGAAGCTTGGGGCGTGCTAGCGGAGTTCTACTCGAGTTTTTTCTGCGTTTGTCTAGCTCTCCACCGGAGTCGACGCAGGGATACTCATGGTATTTCTTTTGAACGAACACCTAGACTGTGCTGGTGCGGTATCATGGTTCAGTAGCTTTCAGCATGTACCGGCCGGTCTTCGTATTGCTGCATCGTGATTGCGCATTTTCAACTTGTGTAGTGCTGTTGAAGCATTAGAGCATTGCGTCACGCACAGACCATTGTGACCTGTTTCTTGCAAAGGTGCCAGGCATGTCAGTATGTGCCACCCCACCTCTCCTGTGCAACTCACGGCAAGCAGCAGGCAGGAAGGTTCTTCTCTTGATTGCGTGCCATTATGTAGATGGCAGCTGGTTGGAAGTGTTATGCTGACTGCCAGCCGGTGGAGGAGCCAAGCGCTCTGTAGACTTGTCGAGGGTCCTGCAGCAGGTGGCTGTCATCAAGCATCGCCAAGCCTCTGTCGGAGAAGGCATTTCAAACATTATGGAGGCGCGAGTTGGAAAGCCTTCGTCGGCGATTCGACCTTTGTTGTGGGGCATGCTGCAGACGTGCCAGTAAGCCGTTTGGTGACTAGGTGCGGATACCGGGCCTTTATCAAAATGATACGAGCGCGCGCGGCTGAAACGACGACCAATACCCGGCCAGCGTTGTGCCGGCATTTTCGAGATTCCCATGCTTCGCTTTCAGGTGATTTGGTGCCCAATGCTGGGCATGCCTGACTTGGCTGAAGCGAGACTGCTCATGGGGAGCCATGTGACTGGATTTGGCGCACACCGAATCTCCACCTTGTGCTGCGTGCAGGCTGAACTCAGCAATGAGATGCAGCAGCTCATTACCCGGAAACCGGTGTGGAATGAGAAGGCCCGCGTCCTTTCCATATGCCCCGAAGTCGTGCCCTACGTGCAAGCACTTGGGCGGCAGCACCGTGCAGACGAACATATGGACTTGTTACGCATGTTGTTGTCTTTCAGCATGATGCAATTAGGTGCAAAGCTTGGTCTTGGATTTCAAGGGTCGTTCGCGGCTTAGCGAGTGGTTGGTACAAACCTTGTTTGTTGTTTCGGACTTTTCTGGGCTTTGCAAGGCAACATCGTCTCCTCAGCACGGGGGCCGAGCGGTCACCGTGCGCGACAGAACCAGCATGAAGCAACCCTTGACATCCCTTGGCTCGACAATGAATACACGCAGCTGGGGAAAGACCTGAAGGCATGTGAGGTTGAATGGGTTTGCGTCTGAAGCTTCGTAGAGCCATCACTGCAGCTGCAACATGCAAGCCTCCACCACAGCATGACAATTTAGCTACACACCTTTCATTCGTCTGTCTCTTCCTCTTGGTGCTGGCCAAAATGGCTGCGTCTTTTGAGGAGATTCTCGGCAGGAGTATTCATGGCTTGTCTGTGTTCTTGGGAATTTGCCTTGTACCCAAGCCCCCCATCCCCCCCAGGAAAGTTGCAGCACTTCGCAAGTTGCGTGACAAGCAGCTGGCGAAGCAGGCCAGGCCAGCTCGCCGAAGTTTCTGGCGCTGCGGCGCTGTATATGCTGCATTCTCGATGTATTGGGGGCTGAAGGAGCAAAGCCGGAAAGAAGACCAGTCTCCGCCCCAGCACGCGCAAACAGCGAGGAAAGCACCGGCGGCATGCTCAACGCATGTGCCTGCACGGAGGAGCACGGCTGTCACAGACACTTCCGAGGAGCAGACCTGCAGCATGCCTGTGCAAGTGCTGCAACATCCTCCGGTTGGCACGAGGAGCAATGCATTCCCGAAGACTCCGCTCGGAAAGAATCACAGCAGCCGCAGCCGAAGCTCTTTGGATGCAGAATCTGTCCAACATGGCCAATTGTCGTCCAGAGGCGTTGTGCTTATCTCGTAAATTCTGGTTTCCATTCGCATGAATTCTGAGGCAAATCGCTGATTCGAAAGGCTGGCTGTGACGCTGTGCCACTCAACCCATGTGCAAGATTGTCTAGTGATGCACGGCTTCAAGCGTGCAAGATGCCGATGCTTTCTTCTGCAACGGCCACTGCTACGAGCGCGGATTGTATGGCTGCGAGATGAATCTCGAGGTTGCTGCGAGGTTGATCCTTGGACTTAGACTGAATCTGCGCTTTTGGTCTAACAGCTGGTCGTCCTTGAGAGCTCCTGTCTGGATTGTCAGGTACAGGCTCGCAGCTGAGAAGGGACACACTGTCGCACAGTGGCGGCTTGGAGAGCTTCTCGAGCTGCTTGCCAAACAGATCTTAGCACACGTGGTCCTGTAACGTTCAATTACTGAATGGGGTTGGGAGAATAAACTACTTATTCGACCCGGTCTTGCCGAACGCCTTCCAGGAAGGCAGTCCCCCGATGACGAGACGATTAAAACTGGAAGTATTCCGCGCCTGGTTTGTTTTCAGCGTACCTGCCTTTATGACAAGTCTCTACTCCACTAGCAAGACCGGCACTCCCTACACCTCTGACTTCCCATCATTCCGACCGTCCCAATCGAGCAGGCCTCTTTCGGACCAGGCTTACTCCTAATTCCACGGAGCCTCCGACTGGTTAGTATCAAGGCGAGGTCACTCACGACGGCCCCGTCTTCCAGGTACTTGTACTGCACGTACCACTGGTAGCTTGCTGCATCTTGCCGCCCATTTGCTGATGTGTGAGTGTGAGTGTGTCCCTGGACGGCCAGTCAGCGATGACATAGGGCTTTAAGATGTGACCAGCCACTTGGTAAAAGTGCCCCTACATCTCGGGGTTGGTTACTTCTTTCTAGTTCGCCTTGTGGTTCCCAGGGTGGGAGACGGCCGTTTTGTGCTATGTGTCCTGAGAAACCAGAGGGGGGGCAGCCTGCACATCTCTTAAGGGGATTGCAGCCAGGCCATGCCAGGCCGGTAGCCGGTCCCATCCCCTGCGAGGAATACAGTGTCGACAGACACTTCGGTGCAGTTTGCAGTCAACCATCCCGCCCTTCCTTCACAGGTCCGGCTTGAACGGCCAAAAGCCCAACGATGCAAGAGAGGCCTTGCATTGGTACACCTTAGCCGCACAGAGCGGAAATGCAGAGGCGCAAAGTGTACCTCGACGCATGTTCCGGTTTGGGTGTCCCTGGATACTTAAGGGCGATAGCAAGGCATGTATATCTAGTGCAAAGCAGGGGCATGCACGTGGTTTGTGTGCATTTGTTGGTGTCGTTCTTGCTAAGCCTGTTGCCACTCATAAACACCAGGAGCGCGAACTTCTGGAACAAGCTGAAGACGAATTACTTGGGGATTCATGAAACTTCATGCAGTCCAAAATTTCGCAACCCGGCTTGAAACCATGCATAGAACATTCGAGGCGCTGGCGCTCCTGTTGGAAGATGGCGCCGATGGAGTTGACCAAGATCCAGCAGCTGCTTTGACGTGGCATTTGGCGGCCGCAGAAAAGGGAAATGCAGTGTGGCTTGCCTTAAGGAGTCTGTGATTGTGCAGTTCGTATCTGTTCGTTATAGTCATCGCTGGCACTAGATTTCAGATGTGTATGTCGTAAGCCTGCCAAGCAGGCCAGGTTGGCAGCAGTCTCCATTGAAAGGAGCAGCTTTGTACCCTATGTTGGTTCTGCATGCCGTCCAGAAAACAGTTGACAGTTGTCGTGAATGGCAAGAACCAAGGTCGCAGTACTGCGCAGCTTGCAGGCTGTCCAGTGGCGGCGACGTTGAAGCAGCGCACCATTGGCTGCAGCTCAGCGCGGATCAGGCAGATTGGGATGACCATTCCTGAAATGCTCCGTAGGAGATTTGCCAACGCGTCTTGTCGTCAGGGCTTCCGGCCAGCAAAGCAAGTTCTGGAGGAAGCTGAGCTCAGCACTTTATCAGGAAATTCCCCCGGCCGAGGCAAGATTGATGGCACACAAAGGTTCGACAGCTTCTCTGGTGCAGGAAAACGCGCAATGTTGCGGACTGCACCTTTCAAGTGAGTTTTCTGTGACATGTTCAGCTGGTTCCTTCGCAAGGCCGCAAGGCATGATGCAGACCCCTGAAAAAATTCGTGCACTCCTGTAACAGCCAGTGCCTGACGAGTGCCCGGCCCCACCCCGCCACGAACGGTTTTGAAACGACAGGCCACAGCCATTTGGCAGACCCGACCTCGACAGCCGATGGTGAAGACCTCGTCGGCCTGGCCATGCGCATAGCTCAGCAGCTAAAGGGGCTTCAGGACAGTGTGCGAGCTGAGCGCAAGACCTGATGGCTCATGTCCGATTGCGAACTCATAAGCATTGCCTTTGGCTTCGGATGGCACCTGACCGTTCCATGTGGACGGAGTCGGCTTTGCGAGACAGTTTAAAGAAGGGCCATCTCGTGCCAAGTTTGACGCAGTGATGGTTGCAGCTGATTCCGTCCAGCGTCACCTTCACCTTCTTCCCCGCTGCTACAGTAGGAAACTTGGGGGTACCTGAAATTCTGCAGGACGACGAAGAAGCAGCACAGCTGCTGGAGGAGCTGCTGAACGATTGTCCAAGTTTGGTGGACTCAGCAGGTGTCGCGGTTGCCGCTGTACCGAACATTGTTTTTATTCTGAGACAAACTCTTGGGTCGTCCAGGCGACGCCATTGCGGATGCAGTCGGCAACCTAAGCTGTATGTGAGGTGAAGGGCAGGGCACACGGGATGTGCACTGTGAGGCTGCGTTTTCAAGATTTACTTGTCGAGGCAAGCTCCTGACCAAGGGGATCGAAACGCGTCATCTAGACCTTGTCGTCCATGCGGCAGACAAAGAATCCTGGTGCAGCTGCCGGGTCAGTTCTGGAAAGGCCTGCACACGCGCATGGCCGCAAGATGGTGATGCGTTTGTTGAAGAGCTGCCTTGCCGGCCAGCCCAGGCCAAGAATTTTCAATTAGCATTGCGTCAAAAGCCGCAGCACGTCATTTGCCAGTGGCTCGGTGGCAAGAAGCCAAAAGCCCAAGCTTCAGGTCAGTCTTGTGATCAGGGGGCATCGGTGACAGAGCGTCTGAGGTATGGCAAGCTTGGGCCGACAAACTTCGGTCTGGATTTCAGATATCCGATGAGCGCTTTGGCGGAATTTCCTACCGTTCTGTGGAAAACAAGCAGCGGAAGCCTTGTCAGAACGTGGCTCAGGCGTGATACAGGCCTTCGGTGCAGCCATGTCGACGTTGTTCTGGTTCCTCGGCCGTTAGCGACAGTGCTGGACACATTGCTTGCTTGCGCATGTATCCGAGATTCCGAGATACTCAGGACGTGAGTAGTAATGCCACTATGGCATCCAGGAGGCCACCTGAAAAAATTAAGCAAAATCTTATGATTGCCATCATGATGATTTGCTTATCAAGATTTTAATCTATATAAAATAACGATATCAAAATTTTCAAAATTTCAAATACAAAAAACAGGTTCTACATTGGCAAGATTCAAATTTCTCCAATATTTTCTTATTCTGCCATGATTTAGATTATCGAATAATTTCTTTTCGTATTCTAAAAGAATGATAATATTTTTTATTTTGAATAGAAACATTATTTATTAGATATCTATAATTGATATAGCATTATGAATTGATTTATATATAAATATGAAATAAATTTGAAAAGAAATTAAAAAAATATAGATATATATATATATTTATTTCAATCCATTTTCATTTCTTATTAGTTGTAGGAAAATTCGTTGATATGTTTTGTTGATATTTTGATTTTGATATTTTAAATGGATATTTATAATTATAGATTAGCGTCTGATAAATTCGGATTTTGATAAAATATATATGAAATTTATTTGATAAATCGTTACCGGTCTTTAAATTGAGGTAATTTCTTAATTTATTATATTTTATAATTTGAGATTGATATTTATAGCTTGATATGGCAAGATACTATTCGATTCGATTATAGAAATTGAAAGATTTTTTCTCGATATTTAATTGGAATTTTGATTATAAAAGAAATCGTCGAAAAATATTCTAATTTTGAATTTCGGGTTGTATTTTATAATGGTTATTATTCGAATGAAATATTTTATTAGATGATTATTTTTGAAATTATTTAGAAAATTAATTTTTATTAAGAATCCAAAATTTCGAAAATTCTATATTCTTTATAATTCTGATTTTATATTTATATTTAATTTTCATATCGAATAATAAGCTATGATGCGGGAACCATAAGATTTTTTAAAGAAATTAGAAAAAAATATATTAATTAAAATTTTCTATGATGAAATTTATTGTGATTTATCACGAGCCGATAAGTAGCTGTCATTGATTAAAAGACATTTTTATATTATATTTAAAGCTTCGGCTTTAGAAGATTATAAAGTAAGATGAAAAATTTAGAATTAATCCTAAACTCCAAATCTATACTCGATTACGTCGGACTCTAGAGCCTATTTTTTACATACAATAGTATTCATAATTGAATCGTCTGCCAGAAATTACGAGAACGAAATTCAAATGATATTTCGATAGATATCTATATTGAATTTTATTAATATTTAATTCGATATTTATATTGATTGATTTAAAAATTAAATATTTCTTTCGGAAAATTAAAAATCTGAAGGCTCGCTAAGGCTAGAATTTCAATAGATTAAATAATAAAAATATTGAAAAATAATGAGATGATAGGAAGTCTAATCTTCCTATATTTAGATTTCCGATAAATTTTTCAGATTTAATCTTAGATTCTGAAATTCGGAGGAGATAAGATTTATATCTGATAGAATTCAAAATGCTTATTCTTGCGATTTTTCATATAGATATTCCGAGAGATGATTTTTCTGATAATAAAATCTATTTGAATATCCCAAATTCAATATATATTCAAATATTTTCTGTTAGAGAACCTTTTATTATAATTTCAAATTAATATCTTAATAATAGAAAAAAGAAATTGTGGATCTTGACTGATTCTTATTCCTAAAAATAAATATTCTTGAGAATGATCCTGGCAATAGATTTTATATCGGTCCGAAAGATAATAATAGTCTTCTATTTCATATTTATTTAAAAAAAGATTTCGTATAGATTCATATTTTAGTTCATATGATTGAAAATATTATATCGTTTGAATCTCGATTTATCTTTCTATATTTATTCTCATATCATCTCAAAAATTATTTCAATACTATATATCAATCTGATTGATCTCCCGAGAAGAAGAATTTTCTAACTTGCTTAGAAATCCTAATATTGGATCTGATTCCAGAATGGAATTTATTTATAAAACGAATATTTCTCATAAATTATTCTGATTAATAGGCATCGTATTGCACAAGATATATCTTTTTCGATCAATCTGAATATAAGATTTCGGACAAATTCCGATTATTGATCTCAGAATTTCTTAGGAATGATATCAATATCTTTATATAATCTTGCCAATAAATTCTATATAATATTTCTTTTCTCATTGCAATATATGATTATCTCGGATTTGCCAATATTTATATATATATAGAGATATCTTAATGCTAAGGTTAAATCTGAATAAAGGCGAAGATATCAATCTTAATTTTATCTTTATCATTCGCCTTTATATCTATGATTATCATAATATTCGTTCTGATTTCAATCCTAAAGAGATGAACAATAGGCGTGAAATCTTCCATAATTTTATCTCGATGATTCTCTTATTCAGATTATAATCTTAGTGAGTTTCAAATAATCAAAATATCAGTCGAAATAATCTTGATATCTTGGATCTTGGTCTGTCTTAAAATTACAATAGTAGCTCTCTCTATAGCCTAAAATTAGTTCGAATAATAGATTATATATTAATAATTATATGATATCAATACGCCTTGCTTATTATCAATTATACGATAATAATATTAAATGAATCCGAAATTCAATAATAATGATATTCGATCTTTATTGATAAAATTAAATCATAACGCGGATTGTTCTATAATTTTTTTCTAGAATATTTTGAATTTGGAATAAAAATATTTATCTTACCAAAAATGGATCTGGACCAAAAACGCATGTTTTTCCTAAGAAATTTGGAAAATAAAAATAGAAATATATCTTTTGAGAATTTATACGATCAGATTTCAAAAAGATATTTTGTTGATTTTCTTTAGAAAAAAATTGATTTTCCTGTCCAAAATCATATTGTTTCTAAACGAAAATTGGATTTGTAGTCCAAAATCATCTTTTGATATTCAATATTCAATTTTTTCGTAAGAAAATCAGAGAAAATCAAAAAAAATAATTTTTTGAAAAATTATACGGCCAGATCCCAAAAAGATATTTTTCTGGTTTTTCTTAAAACAAAAAATCATTTCTTATCTATTTTTTTCTCCTAGGAAAATTTTGGATTTTTAATCCAAAATCATCTTTTTCTCTAATTAAAAAATTGATTTTTATATCGATAATATTTTTTCCTAGGGAAAAATTGTATTTTGACGTAAACCACCGTAAATCCATATTCTTCCTAGGCAAAATTTTTTTCCAACGAAAATCAATCTTTTCTTAAAATTCAACAAAATACTTTTTGGAGTCTGATCATTTTCTTCCAAGGGAAATTCAAAAAATCATCTTTTTGGAATCTGGTCGTATTTTTTGGGTTTTTTCTCCAAGAAAAACTAGTTTCTAATTAAAATAGAGAATCTTATTAAATGCATATTCATGTCGAATCTGAACGAGATGCCCGACGATTGAAGAATATATTGATATGGATAGATGTGAAGAATATATTGATATGGATAATTGTGTATTCATATCGAATATTATTCGAATATAAAGATGATTTCTCTTGAAATCTGACCTGGATTTTGCCAATCTTTGAGAGATATGGAATCCGAACCTGTCGGAAAAATTGATATATACGATTTTAAATTCATGGATGAGATTGAAAAAAATATATATATATATATTCGACTCGATCATATATATCATTATAATTAATATATAGATGATCTATTAGATATCATCTTATTTAGATAATCTAATCATTTTTCTCATAGGTATTCTCATATAATTCCTATAGATATTATTAGCTTATCAAGAGCAATTATCAATTTTTTCTGCATATATGAGGTCATAGATTTTATCAAAGCTCTTAAGATTTCTTAGATTCGATCATATCAGAAGAAAAAAATAAATATTCTCCTAATTAAATTATAAATATTTTGATTTCTAATTATTTTAGATCATAGAATTAATCGCAGAAAAGATATATTCCAGATATAAGAATCCAGAAATAAAATCATTGTTCCGCCTCTTTCCAATTAATATATCAAATTTTATAAAATCTAATATAATTTCATTCATAGAAATCAGAAATCATAAGATCAGAATCATTATCATATTTTCATATCTAATTAATATCAAATCTAAAAAATTTTAATTATGAATTTATTCAATAATCATATTCATTTGTTTATTCTTATTCAATAGATAGATATCTTGG